ACTAGCCTTCGCAGTTGGCTGGCTGATTTGTGACTGATTTTGCAGCAGCTTTTGAGCTGGCTTTGGACACGTTGGGGCTTGGGCTGGCCAAGCATGTGTTGGTTTGGGATTGGTGTAGTTGGCAGGCTAGGGCAAGGTGATTGGACTCATTCAGTTGCGCTTGCTTGAAAGGCTTGGCAGTGGCAGATGTGGGCGCATGCAAGACTGGAACGAGCCAGAAAGGTGTGTGTGAGTGTGTGAATGTGTCTGCAAACGGCTTTTAGAACAACCGAGTTCTTGCTCCATACAGCCAGGTAGCTGCCAGCTTTTTGTGTCTGGCCTACTGCCAGAGACACCGGCGGAAGCAACTCGGTTGCAGGTCTGAAGGCCAAAGCACGTAGGACGTCCCGCTAAATGGCCGTGGGTCAAAAAAACGGTACCCAAAACGGAACCCTGGCCAATAGAACCAATGACTAAAACCTGCGGTCCCCTGGCCGTTAAATTTTGACCCATACCCAAATATGCCACGGGTACCTTGTTAACTGAGCGGTTTTTTGTGAGGGCGGCCCCCGCTCCCCAGAAGTCTGAAGACCCTTTTTGATCCGATTCGGAGCTATGCGGCTAGTATGGCTTGCTGGTTAGTCCTGGTTTACTAGTTGTGTAGGATTGGTTAGTGTTGATTTGGCAATGGTGTGATACTGCAGTGGGAAGCCTATTTGTTGTGTTATTTTTGCCATTGAACATGATGCCCAAAGAGTGATCACTCAAGATGTTCAGGGCCCTCTTTGCGGCACACCCTTTGTGTTGTTGAAGACATTTTTGTTAGTGAGTTTGATGGTTGGCGAGAGTCTAAGATCAAAGGGTAGCAGGTTTTTGAAAGGGCGGTGCCTCGCTTGTGACGTCAGTTGTTTCTCCCTTGTGACGTTGTTTTTTTCTCGCCTGTGACTGGACTATCTCGCTTGTGACGGCACATAATTGGTCACGTAAAACATCGCAAATTACAGCGTTTTGTGGATGGGGGGGAGGGGCATGGCAACCCTAGGTGTGGTTTTGGGGTAAAAGCGTCGGTTGTTAACTTTGTCGCAAGTGAGTGCCATTTCTTGTGTGGAAACACAATGATTGTTCGGTGGACCCAAAGCTTCCACTTGAAACGAATAGTTGGTTTTTAAAGGGAATCTATCACGCAAAATGCATTGCAGGTTGATATGTTGCTATTTCGAGGGCTGCTGTGGTTTCAAAACCTGTTTTGGAGACGACCCAACAAGGGGAGGGGGGCATTTTTTTTGTGACCTACAGTGATGCGAGCCAAACCCACAAGCTTAAATCCTAAAGCCAAACCCAAAAAGCCTAAACCCTAAACCCAAAGCCCAAAAACCTAAAGGGATGTAGGCCAAACCCAAAAGCCTAAACCCTACACGCAACCCAGAACCCTAAAACCTACAGTGATGCGAGCCAAGCCCAAAAGCTTAAATCCTAAAGCCAAACCCAAAAGCCTAAACCCTAAGCCCAAACCCAGAACCCTAAAACCTACAGTGATGCGAGCCAAGCCCAAAAGCTTAAATCCTAAAGCCAAACCCAAAAGCCTAAACCCTAAACCCAAAACCAAAAAACCTAAAGTGATGTAAGCCAGCCAAGCCCAAACGCTTAAATCCCAAATTCAAACCCAAAAGCCTAAACGCTAAACCCAAAACCCAAAAACCTAAAGTGATGCAAGCCAAACCCAAAATAAACCCTAAGCCCAAAACCCAAAAACCTAAAGTGATGTAAGCCAAACCCAAAAGCCTAAACCCTAAGCCCAAACCCAGAACCCTAAAACCTACAGTAATGCGAGCCAAGCCCAAAAGCTTAAATCCTAAAGCCAAACCCAAAAGCCTGGTTTAAGGAGCAGGCAGCACGGGCTCAGTTGAGCGGGTGTGCTTATCATGCCCCCCCCCCCCCCAAAAAAAAAAAAGGAAGAAAGAGACTGTCTGGCGAATCGTCGCAAGTGAGTCAGGTGCTGTGGCGGGCAAAATGATTGCAACATGCATGTCATCACTTCGAAAACCTCCCTCTGATGGTCGCGTGGCGCGAATGTTGTCGCAAGTGAGTCAGGTGGATGCGCGAAACCTGCGCGCGAGCACACTTCTGGAAAGTGTGTAGTCGCAAGTGAGTCAGGGTTAAGTCGCGAGTGAGTCAAATTAGGTGAGTTCGCAAGTGAGTAAAAACTTGTCGCAAGTGAGTGCTTCCCCTTTTTGAAAACTGGTTTAGACATCAACCCCTGAAGCACCACGGACAAGAAAGCTGCTTCACGGTGTTCCCTAATTTTGGGGATGTGGGATGGTCCGTGTCGATCATATCGAAGATGGTACCCAAGCCTTCGGATGTCGTGCTTAGCATAAGTATGACATCATTGTTGGTGCCTGCGTGAAGGCAGGTGCCCCAATCGTGATCAACCCACAACCCTTGACTGCTATTGGGTTGGATCTTTAGACTTTAGCTTTTTGGGAAATAAGGTGTTTTCCACAACCCCCAAAAAGTTAAACTTTTGCAGGGGGGGCCAACAGCAACCCACAACAGCTGTCGTTGTTGTTTTTCTGTTCCATGGCCAGCGTGCAGCCCAAAACGGACTTGCCGGCGTGGGCGTTTTCAGCGTGAAACAACTTGAGCCACAATCAAAACCTGGGTAGATGAAGGTTAGCAAGGGACAATCCCAACCAAAAATAGCTGCGGCCGCCTTCTTAATTCTTTACATGGTTCCGGGTCAACCATGTTAATACCGGGTTTTGATTGTGACTCACTTGGGATAGGTCATGCTGTGGATGGGCGATATCCTGCGTCATCTAAGAAACCCTGAATGATTCCCCTGCAAATAGCAACAAACAATGACTTCAACCATGGTTTCAAAGTGGTGCGAAATGGATTTCGTCCATCCACAGTAGGTCGTAGGTCCCGGTGAGTGCGAAACTTGAGCCTGTGAGAGTGGGCATGGGCACCGATGTACGTGCCCAGCCTGCGCCAGCCTTGAATGTCCACTTCGAATGGAAAGCCACCATCCCAAAATGCATCCGAATCCGGGGCATTCTGAACACGGCAGCGAGGTGTTTGCATCAAACATGTAGAACATCCAACATCCACAGGAAGATCCTGGACCTTTTGCTGAGTTAGCGAACTGTGAACTTTTTACAGGTGGGTAGGTGTCTTCAGTTTAGAACAGGCATGGAAAGGCCCAACACATATCTAAAACGTGCAGATATTACCCCCCCCAGCAACTAACATGAACCTGACAGGGGCTTCCTTTAAAAGGAACACGGTCTTCCAGGACGTCAAGTTCCATTGGTGGGCCCAACGCAGTGTTGAATCATTCAGACTATTTCTTTCATCCGGCGTGAATACAGCGTTTTTTCAGCGATGTTACCCCAAATCCGGCTCTGTTGCGCTGTCATTTTTTCGGCGGTGTTACCACGTAATCTCATTGCTTCAAACCCAAACTCAGGAGGCTCACCCATAGGCCCATAGGCCGCCCAATTTGCGCCCAGCTGCTTCGGGACTTCTGCGAGAGCTGCTTGGGGGAGAAGACGGCCGGTAGACCCAGTGATAACATCGGTTCGGGAGATTTGTGGGTTCCTGCTTTTGTTGTTCAGGTGCTCGGAGGTTCCCGTTTATGAACGTGATTCACATAAGCTATGTCCCCCCAGTGGGGGAGGGTTCCCCTACTGAAATAGACTACAGAAGAAAAAACACCGTACCCGTATTATTCTAACCTCTCTACTGGAGGACCTGGTAAGGATGACTAAGGAGCATTAGAGCTAGGCCTTGTGCTGGAGCCGGAGTTTGTATTTACGAGAACATCGATGGCAACACAAGGCTGGACGGCACCAGTTTTGCACAACCATGGTTTGTTGAATAGGATGCCAAACAACACGGGCAACAGAAACTCCACCGCAATGGTAAGCAGCATTCGGGAGCTGCTTGTGCTATCTCGCGTAGATGGATGTTTGTCATGATAGTTGAGGCCAGCGTTTTTGAAGTTGTTCTGAGAGTGGCAACACCATGGGCTTTCACTCCAAGGTCCCATGTTGAGTGCGTGTCCTGTTGGTTTCATGCAAGCTGGATAGAGTACCTAGGCCCGAGGAGTTTAGCTTGCGGCGTTTGATGCTCATTGCTGACTGGCAAAGCATCACTAATGACATGTTTCTTCCTGCCTTTTTGCTGACTCGGAGGATGGTCGCGGTTTTTTTGGGCACTGCTGCCTCTCCCAGAGACAACTCAATTGCAAGTTCCAAGCGTCGCTGGTTGGCAGAGATCGGTATCCTTGTCAGGGAAGGGAGGCTCAGGCGAAGGTTTTGATACCAGGCATGGGGCTAAGCCGGCCTACATGCGAGCCCTGTGGCAACTGCAGAGTTCACACTTCTTTCAACATCTCTGAGTTTCGTGTCCCTGTTGGTTCACCGCCCTAGGCCCACCTTGCTTTTTGGCACTCGCACGTTCCCACTCCCAGCACTAACTATCCACTTCAGAGCGTAGAGGTGCGGATCGCATCAGGCCAATGGCATCAACTGGGATCCTTCATTGGCTGAGCGAAGCCCGGGCTGATTTCAAGATGCGCATCTCCAAGTTTCTGTATGGCCATTCAACGAGCCAAAAGCTGGCCGATGCTTGAGGTTTGTATTTGGGGTGGAGGGATTTGTATTTGGACATGTTGTCCAGCTAAGCATTTCCCGGCCCGCAAGCATGATATGCTTTGCCGTTTGTTTAGACTTCGCCGTTCCTGGTATGTTTGAGCTGGACCGGTTTCCTACCTGCTGCCGCCACATCTTGCCCGATGCGTGCTTGTCTGTCTGCTTGGATTGCGATTTGCATGGTTGCTCACAAGCGTCGGCGAGAGGTTGTGTATTGCCTGAGGTTGTGTATTGCAACACCTTCACTCGGGAGTCCAAGGGCAGCGGGAAATTGGAGCCGTGGACCCAGATAAGACTAGTAACTAGTCATTACTTTTCTCGGACCTTCCACCCAGTGCAAGTATCTTCACCTCATGTTTCAATGCGAACATGTGGTCATGCTGCTGTTGGAATTGCGTGTGCGATGCAATTCGGGCGCCTGGCTTGTGGCACATTGTTCGCTCATTTCAGAGAAACTGCGCACATAGTCGAGAGCTCAGGTTGCCCTTGTTGCCTCGAATAGGACGCCCAAGATGTTCGAAGGACCCCTGCAATTTCGATACATTGTTGACATCTGAAAGGTGCTACTGTTCATTATGATTGGTTCCAGGAATTTCGTTATGCATGATCTGAAGCGAGCTTGCGCTTTTCACTATCTTTGGGCTTGATGGACATGACTGGCCCCTGCATTCCTGTTCCACAAGGCCATCTCATGTGGCAGGAGATGCGGGGTATTTCCAGGTTTTGCAGTCATCAGGGAATGGCAGAGGGTGTTGCTTTTGGATGCGTTCTAAGCAGGCCTGCGGCAACCAAGCAGCATATAAATCGGAAGGTCAAAAGATGTAAAAAAAAAAACATGTGTGAGTAGCGTTTGTGCGACATGAAGGAGGCAAAAGGAGAGGTAGCGTTTGCGTAGTCCCCTGTTGTAAATGACAACTTATAAAGTTAAAACCTTGAATTGATAATTCTGGCCTTGCCAGAGTTGACTCCACTCGTTTAGCGTGGCCTGAGCGGCATTGCGATCAGGCCAACTTCGACCACCTCAAGGAACCAAACCCCGCCGAGGGTTGTGATTTTTAGACAATTCTATTCTCCCGCCACAGGCGCACGCATTCCTTTCGCTCAGGAACGCAGAGCTTTCACAAGCAGATTTCGTGGCAGGGGCGCAACAGAGAAAGAGAAGGCTAAAAGGAAAGACACAGCGCAAGTGAAAGAGAAAAGAAAGAGTAAGGGAAGAGAGAGAATCAAGAATATATATATATATATCAAAAAGAAGAAAGAATAAAGAAGCATGGGGGAAGCACTTGTTGAGCGCATTGGTGGTCAGCTGTTTTCAGAAGACTGTTGCCCACAAGTACATAGTGACTATGAACAAAGAACTTAGCAACATTGCAGCGCATGTTGTGGAAGAGTGGTGCGCCATGCGTTTGTGGACACAGTTCGAACAATTTCTAAGCTCGCAAACTAGCTCAAACGAGCAGAGGCTAATGTGAATTAGGCGCAAACCAGCCCCGGGGCCGATGGGGGCCCCTCCGGGCTGATGCTGGTTGAAGCGCATGTGAAACGCGGTGTGTCATGGGCGAAGTGCTTGTTGAGCGCATTGGTTGTCAGGTGTTTTCGGAAGATTGTTGCTCATAAACGCAAAGGGCTGGCAAAGAACTTAGCAATGCTGCAGCCCATGTTGGTGAAGTGTGGTGTACCAAGCGTTTGTGGACACGATTGGGGCATTTTTCAAGCTTGCAGCCTAGCCCCGACAAGTAGGGCTAATGTGAAAACACATAGGCACGAAGGCGCCGGACAAGGCAGTTGCAACAAAAACGGCATTATTGATGTGGTGTGCCAGTAGGGTTTGCTTGTACTGTTGTGGGCTGAGCGATGTGCTAGGCGGTGGGGTGAGATGTGGTTCCGTGGGGTGTGAAGCCACGCTGGGTCGCACTAACTGCTATTGCTATTGCTGCTGCTACTTCTACTTCTACGGCGGCTACTGCTACGACTGCTGCTATTACTTCTACTACTACTGCTCCTGCCGCTATCACTTCTGCTGCTGCTGCCGCTGCTGCTACCGCTACTGCTACTGCCGCTGCTGCGACTGCGACGGCTGCAACTGCAACTGCTATTGTCACTGCTGCTGCCCTCCCTCCTCCCCATTCCTAGCGGAAAGAATCCATGTGCTTCAAATGCGGCTCCTACATGACACATGCCATCCGGTGTTTTTTGCGATCCTTTGCGGCCTTTTGTCTTCCCGTGAGCAATCAACAACTAATGCATTGGGGGAAAATGCGACGCCTTGGTCGTAGATGTGCCCTTGAGATCGTGAATCTGAGGCTTGCCTCCGCTGAGCTGGCCGACCGGGCCTTAAAGGACGCCATGGCCGGGCATGTTTTGTTTTTGTTTTTTACGCGGCCGGGCGCCGGCCTAGCTGAGGAATTCGGAAAATTGGACCTGTTGGCCAGCTGCGCCATGTGTTCGTGGCATTGTTGGGCATTGTTGTATTTGTCGGCTGTTGATGCTTCTATGTTTCTGCTCTTTTTAGCCTTCACAGGATCTTCTTGACGCTGTACGCGATGGGCGGGGTCTCTTTTTTTTGCGGCCAGGTTTATTGTTATCCTCGGCTTGCGGGCTGGATGCGCCGGTTGAATTGGGGTGTGCTCTGCTCAAGCCGCGTTCCACCTAGCCTCGGGGGTACCAAAGCTACCGTAACAACAAGTGGCAGTACTATGCCTCGATTGCAACGCTGTGCTGAATTCCGTTGCCCATTTTGGCAGCTTCTTCGGCACGGGCGTCGTGCCGAAGACATTCCCTGTATTCCAGTGGAAATCTTGCTGGCAACAAGGTCGATGTCTGGCCAAAGGGCCGCTGGCAACACTCTCCAAAGCCGCGGGGCCCCCCGGGGGACGCTGACGCCGCGCCAGGAGCTGGAGGGTGCCAACCTGGACGGGGCCACTTTGAGCTTCCGCCGGCCAGGCGCATGGCGGGTGAGCCCTTTAAAACCCAGTCGTCGCCCCGCGGTGCCTTTCTTTTTTTGGAAGGGTTCCCTTTAAACTCAACCAACCAAACAAAGGATGCCTTGGTTATCCCCTGGCCACTGGGCATCTGAGAAAACATGGATGTCGCGAGAAATGCCTCCGAAAAGAAACATTGACTTCCGTGTGGAGTTTGAGGAGCGAGGACATTGTTTGGCCCAATGTGGGCTCCCGATTGACCAACCCCCAAGGCATTCAGATCTCTGCAGGGCACGTGATAATCGGAAGAAGCAGACGTTTGTTTTTCCTGTTGGTTTCCTCCTTTCTTCCTGTTCGTGGATTCCCTGTTCCAACTCTGTCTTATTCCTTTACCATGACCAGAGAGAGAGAGAGAGAGAGAGAAAGAGAGAGAGAGAGGCAGATTGAGAGATAGAGACAGTCATGATAGCAGTCAATAGCAGCCACCCTTTGTACCGAGCTTGTGCGGAGAACGTAGCGCGGCGGATTCCCTAAAAAACGGTGTCCACAGAGCAACTTTTGGCCACGTTTGGCTTTTGTACTGCCGACAGGTCACCAACGCGGTTTGAGGGGAATACCTGGCCGTTCTCATGATGCATTGTTGCAGGGAGGTGCGCAAAATGCAGCGTGTTCTCCAACCGCTCCCTTTCACTTCAGCGCGCCGTTTTCTCTGCAGGCACCCGGCAAGCCCCTGAGCCAGACGGGCGCACCGTCTTCGTGGGAGGCGTCTACCGCATTTCCTTCCAAGCGCAGACGCCGCCAAGTGACGCTTTTTTTGGGGTACTTTCGTTGTGATTCGTTGTGGTGCCGTGTGAATTATAATAACGGTTGGTTGACGAATCCTTTGGGAATTTTGGATGGGCCGACCAGCCATTTAAATCGTTGGTTGACGAATCCTTTGGGAATTTTGGATGGGCCGACCAGCCAAACAAATCAACAAAGCAAAGTCAACCAACCAAATAGCCAGCCTTGCCCCCAACCTGCGGTTATAAAAGTTTAGCTGCGGGTACCTAGCAAGCATCGCAAGCAGAGGGAAAAGACCTGGAAGCGATGTGTGCACATTTATTTGCACAACCACGCATACACACACACATAATATATATATATAGACACGTATAATAATTTATGTATATATATACATATATATATATATATGTATTTATTTGCAGCTGGGTTCCAGCTGCCTCAAGGTCTCAGTTGGGACCTGGACTCCGATGGCCTCCGGGATTTCGCCGGCCAGGTGGGAGAGGCAACGGATTGGGGGGGGCAACGGAGTTTCCGAGCTGCAACCGTGGGTTCCAACTTGGCTGGTCAAAAATGGGTATCCATTTTGGAAGCCTAGATGGAACCAACTACCTGCGGTCCGCTGGTGCTTTAGTTTTGACCCAGACCTATTTTTGGGTAGCCTCCCCCAAACGAACATGGAAGCTCCCAAAACCCCTTTGGAAGACTTGGTTCCATTTTCAGACGCCAATTGGAAAAGCTTCCGGCTGTTAGTAATTAGTTTTTTCTAGAGCCTTGCGGCAGGCAAATGAAGTGCGACATGTTTGAAAGGGGCCTTTTGATGGAGTTCTCAGTGGCGTCAGTGGCGTCCATTGTTCGTGCAACCCGTTGCTGGCTGCATTAGAATCCAAAATGGATGCAGTTTACCATGTTGGGCTTGCGCAGCCTGAGCTTACAAACCATGAAACAATCAGAAATATTTCTTCATCATGGGTGAGCTTTTACCCAACCTCGCCATAAATCAAAACACATGTAGTCTTGTTTTTTTGGAACCCGTGTTACGCACGGGGTGTGTGCCACCAAGGGAACTCGGGTTCAGAATTGAACAGCCGCCCTGAATCTCATGCCCTGGCTGTCATCTTGATTTGCGTGCCAGGAGTTACTTTTCAAGAACCATTGCAGCGCCATCGTTGTGCAATGGACTTTGATCATTAATTCCGATGCTACAAGCATCTAAGTCAATCAAACATCGATGACTAGAGACTTTCAAGCCACTCATCTGCTCTGAATCGGGCGTCGTGGAATCACGCCCTTTGCGTGTTGCTGTTGCCTACTGCTTGCGGCAGTTGTGTTTTGGGGTGGGCACTCACTTCTCTTGAAGCCTCTAGTTGGCAGGGGTGTCGTGTGGCCTTGGTGCCTAAGTTCCTTGGTGAGTCAGTAGCGCGATTGGACACGCTGTGGGCATTTTTCTCCCCGGCTTGGCCTTCAGACGTTGTGCCCTTGAACGCAATCTAGAGGCCACTTTGCTGTTGGAAGAGAAGCTGATGGGGGGGCAGGCGGGTGAAGCATGCCGTGAGGTAAGCTACGCGGCGGTCTTCATCAATCGGGAGACGGGCAAATCCAAAGGCTCAGGCCGGACTATGCCGAGTGCTCGCTGGCAAACGTCGTGGGCAATAAGTTGTGCTAGTATGTTCAGAATCACCTCTGAGCAAAGGGAGAACCTGGGCTGGTTGTTTCCTCGGTTGAGGCTTCCAATTCGGGGTGACGAGCGTCCCGTTCCGTGGCTTCGATGTCTCCCCCGGAGGCAAGGTGCAGTTCGCCTCGGCCAGCTCGGCCCAGAAGGCCGTGGAGGAGCTCAGCGGCCGGGAGCTGCTGGGCCGCGAGGCGCATCCGTGAACCGGGATTGCGGTGATCCGTGGGCTGAAATTGATATTTGTTCCCTTGTCGGAGTTGAGGAATCCATCAGCCAGTTTCCCTGTGGTGCCCTTTTTTCTCTTTTTTTTTGGGGAAGGGTTCCCTTTAAACTCAACCAACCAAAAAGAGGATGCCCTTTTTTTTCCCCCTGGCCACTGGGCATCTGAGATCACTACTGGAGATGTGTTTGTCTTTTCTTGCGTCCTCTGTTGTCTTTAGATCTGAGCTCGCCACTCTGGCCGCCGGTGTCGCAAAGACGAAAGTTCATCGTCCTTGCTGGGTTTAGAGAGAATCTATCACTGGACATATGTATTTTTCCCGGCAGCTTAAGCAAATGGGGGTTTGAAATCCTTGGAATTTGAGCTTACATCTCCTTGAAAAGTTAGGGATTCGTACCGTAGTTCCCTGATTCATTCAAATCCATTGAGAGTCCAGGCTTACCTGTGATTCCAGGACTTTTGTCCATCCAAGAGATCACCGGCTCCCTGGAGGCGTTTGAACAATGCAATGTCAACAGGTTGTTTGGTGTATCCATGGAATAGTTTCACTCATGCTCGAAATCCACCAGATGCCAAAGAGCCATGTTTGTGTGCGTGTGTGTGCATTGTTTGTACATTTCTACTTCCTTCATGTTCAGCAACGCATTCCAATTCAACCTGAGGATGGAAGTCGTGGGAAGTTTGGACTTGCTCAGGACCCGCACGACTGTGCCTCAAGGTTGCTTCAGGATCTCTCGCTTCAGCTTGGCATCCGATCCGGCTGAAACGACCGTCTCTCCGCAGCCCTCGGGCTCTGAGCGCGCTCGCGCGTTGCGGCGCTCGGCGCGCTCGATCGAAGGCGGGGCCAGTGAAGTCGTTGAGTTGATGCGGCGCCTCTAGCGGGAAAAGCTACGGTAGGTGTGCCAGTCAGCTGACGCAACGAGGAATGGGTTGAGTTGAATGCAGTAAAGCAGACATGTGGTGTTTCCAGATTCAATTTTGTTATGAATGGGACATAATGGAGCTGATTTGCTGTATGATGATTGCATATGATTGCAATTTCCAACGCGCTTGGCTGGCTTTTCCCGATCAGGTTTCTGGGCTGGATCAGGTGTTCTCCAAAGCCTGTTGCGTTGAAGGTTGCGTTGGCTGGACAGCCAACTCTCTTTCTTCAGACGGTGTTGGCATCACTTCCTCAAGTAGCAGTGTGCCCCAAGTAGCGCATGACTTTGCCCAGAGACACTCAAGAATTTAGTGTGCTCATGAAATGGTATGCGGCGGGTATGATCCATTTAGGTGGGCCTGCCTCTCGATGCACAACGGGTGCCACCAAGCAATCAATTCAGATCGCAAATCAGCCATAATCAGCCAATCACGTATCAAGCTGGCCTCAGCTGAGGTCTTGGCATGCAAGAAGACGTGGCTGGTGCGAAGCATGTCGGACAACCAGAGGGCTCGGCTGGCCGGTCTTCAGACGCTTTGTTACATGGCGTTGCTACTGTACCCATGATGCAACTCTCAGGATAGAGCTCAAGTGCATGCATCTCGAGGACTGTCGAAACGGTTCCTGTATGAATTGCTTTCCAAGCAGTACAGCAGACGAGACGTTGGCACACCGTACCGCGCAGCACTGCAAGGGACAAGCATCCCCCACGCGCATGCACACAAGCACAAGCAAGCAAACAAGCAAGCAGAAGCAGAGACAGAGACACAGACAGAGACAGAGGCACGCAGGCAGGCAGGCACGCAGGCAGGCAGACAGACAAACCAGAGAAACAATCAATCAAACAATAAAACAAGCAAGAACACAAATCAACAAACAAACAAACAACCAACAAGCCTGCAAGCACACAAACAAACAATCCATGCAACCCAAACAAAACAAGCAAGCAAGCAAGCAAGCAAGCAAGCAAGCAAGCAAGCAAGCAAGCAAACAATAATTCAACAAACAAACAAGCAAACAAACAAGCACGCACGCAGGCAAGCAAACAAGCACATGCACACACACAGGCAAACACAGACAGACACATACCCACGTCACATTATCATACTTGGGTTGCGTTTGCCATGTGGTTGGAAGGTAGCTCAAAATTTCCAGCTGTGCAGTACTGGTGCGCCACACAAGACATTGAATTGGCTTCAATAATTTGCAAAATTACGCACACATGCGCGCAGGCAACTACACAGGGACACACGTTGGCTGTCGTTTTAAAAAGCTGCAGGGCCAGGCAAGTTCTTTGGTCATTTGGCTGCGTGCTTATGCCTCTTGGAGTTGCACAATGGTTCTTTGCTGTATGGCGGTGTCAAAGCTGCTTCTTTCTTGAACATCCTTGAAATGGACATCCACTATGCTGAGCGGAAAGCCAGTTCTTCTCAGTTGCAACATTTGACGCAACTGCTGGCAAAAACACCACTGCCTAAGAGCTTCTTGCCAGCGTGAAGAGGGCCAGAAATGACTTCAAGTGGATCAGCAGAGCCGGCATTTCCAGGGCTGTTTCACTTGGTCCCGGCCAGGCGGAATTGCCGCCTTTCTCCGATGACTCGGAGGAAGTCTTCTATGGTGCCTCAGTTATTCACTGGTTTTTAATTCTTTGGTACTTCTTTTTGTTTTTTTCCGCTTTTTCCCCTCGGGTTTCCTTGCAAGCTTTTGCAAAATGGCCACTGCAAGTGGCCTCATTTCCGGGCCTCAAATTTTGCTTTCTCCCGCCTGGAAGCCTGGAAGAAAGCACATTCAAGTCCAGCCGGCTTTTGTGGTTTGGAGAAAATCTTATGGAACCAAAGGAGTCCTTCTCATGAGCGTGACAGCGCGGGACAAACGTCTAGAACATACCATGTGCCCATATCAAGACATTGCGCGTTGTGGAAGGCGGAAAATCTAGATAAGCAAGGCCCAACGGTCGGGGTGTTTCTTCAACATGCCTTCGGGTAGGGCGAGGCGTGGATTCCATCCTATATTTTGCGAGCAAGCCGACTACAATCAATCATGACTGCGGTAGCTGTTGGATTGGTCCGCCAGCTTTTGATTTAGCGCTCATTGCTCGAGGAACTCGAGGCTGTTCACAGACAATTCCCTTCTGCAGAACCGAAAACAAACACCAAGTTCAAAGTCGATTGACAACTGCTCTAGCATTAGGTCATCGAAGGTTTCTGGTTCCGAAAGTTCCAGCCATATATTGAGACATTGCGGGTTCATACATTTCGCCTTGGAGATGAAGTGCCGTTTGGCAGTTGCCTGACTTCTTCCTTTGGCCACGGGTATCCAACGCAAGCAAAGTATTGCCTTGACAACTTGACAGAACCCCCCCACCCCCTTAAAAATGGACCCAAACTGAAACTGCCTTGACATAGCCTCACCATTCCCCAGCCCCTTGAAGAATGGACCCAAATTGAAACCCCTGTTAATTTGGGGGGATCTTGACCTGCAGGGTCCAGCTTGGGAGCCTGCACACCTCTCTCAGCCTGAGGCGCGCTGAAGTCCTTCAATCGGGGCTTCGGGTGGATCAGCTGCCCTGACACGCAAGCGCGCTACGGCCGAGACGTCTACGTCTCCAAGGAGGCGCGCGCGGCTTGAGCGTGGAGGGGCTTGACATGGTCTGAAAACACGGCACAAATGTGGGAAATGCAGAACTTGCAAACTCAGTTGCTTGGCACGAGTCAGTGAAATGCTGCGAGATGCTGCAAGATGCTGCGAGGAAGGAAGCACTGGAAACACAAAGAGGGCCAGCAGCCAACAGCGGTAGATGCCTTTCGCAAAATGCCTTCAAAAAAACAGAATGTGACCAGGCGAGACCAGGCAAAAAGGACAAATCGACCTGGCCAAGCAGCACAACTTGGTTGCGAGTTGTAACGAGGTACTTTCAGAACGGTCGGGCTCCCTCCACCCATCATGCTACGAAGAGAAGCGCCGCTCCGCTTGGAAGGGTGCCCTTTTGCCGCCAATGGAAATGAATTCTCAATTTGGTCACTGCGGGGAAGACCAGGGAGGAATAAGGCAAGAAAGATGTGACCTACAGTGTAGGCTAAGTCAAGGGAAGCCATTTCATATTTATGTTTGCGATTTAGATACGATGTTGGTGTGATTGGCATTTATGCAGCGGGCTTACGATTGTTTACTTCTGTTTGCTTATGGTATACCATCTCGGGGTTCTCGGAAGACAAAATTGATGAGTCTCAGGAAGTCATATGAAAGAGACGCATCGCACATAAATCTTTTAAAAACAGAACGTAAACAACTGCAAACATTGAAAAATCAACCCACACAAGCGTAAAAGTTACTCTTTTTGCAACGATTCAAGTAGTTTACGATCAATTTTACGATCTCTGGCACCCCCCTGCCTTCAGGTGGGCGAATCTTTTTTTTCCCCCGGAGGAGGAGTGGGGGCGTTTTCGTGTGAAAACAAGTAAATACGTCACACATGTTGCGGAAATCGGAAACCGCCAGTTGGGCTGAAAGCATGGGTCACAACAATTCCTCGGGACGAATGCCATCACAAGAATGCTTGCTTTCTGGCAGCAAGCAGTGCCAGCACCGCACTTGTAACAAATGCTACACGAAAGTAACTTGTGCTCTTTTCCCTCCTCTTACCCGCAGTTGTTCAACAGCACTTTCCGGGCCGTCTGAAAAACACCAAACTCTCTGCCGCAACTCGGCAATCACATTTTGAAATGGCGAATTGCGCGTTTGGCTTTGGATTTGGGTGGGTGTGCTCAGGAAGCAGCAGCCCTTGCAAATGACATGGCGGCTTGGATGCAATCAGAGTTATCGTCTTTTCGCGAGACGGAAGAAAGCTGGCAGCTCTGGCTGGGGATGGGGTGTTTCCCAGCTGGTCCCTTGGCCCAAAGTGCGGTGACCGGCCATCCCGACATATGGAGAGTGCGTTGGGTCCTCACCACAGCCGCATGGCGCTGCCAGGCGGTCGGGGAGAAGTTTGTCGGGGAGATGCCGCTAGAAGGCCAGCATGTGAAGTTTCAGGCGGGATCCTGTCGCTGACG